AAACCCAGAACTTTCCACCGGAGTTCACAGCTGGTGACACAAAGAAGAAGAAGAAGAAGATTTGAAATGCTAAGGAAAAGGTCTGAGAGGAGATTTGAAAGCCTTTATTACCTTGCAGAGTATGTAATGTTGGCTGGTCATTATGAAGTCCTTGTTGTAGTTCTTCTTCTTCATCTTCAGCATCCCAAGCCCTTGAGGCTCACTCCTGTAGAAATCTCCATTCATCCTTGTGATTGGCCTTCTCTTTATAGCTGGCAAGTTCAAACATTTGTAGGTCTGCCTGTATCTTGTGGTAGTTAAAGAGACAAAATGTGGGATGTTGTATTTTGTATATGTGTGCATATTATTTTTTAAATTTGTGCATGTTTAATCAAGGATTGATTTTCTTCTTTCACAGGCCTTTTCTCCCAACATGAAGGAATTAGTGTCTGTTGGCACACAACATGACATGGTTGTGTGTGTCTGGAACTGGCGAACTGGTTGCAAGATTGCTTCAAACAAAATCTCCAGCAAGGTGAATTCATGTTTCATATCTTCTTTTGTGTTTGTATGCATGTATGTATGGATGTATGGATGGATGGATTAATGGGTGTGTATTATGCATGCATGTGTGTATGAATGTGTGTTTGTATCTGTGTGTATGTATATATGTTTGTGTGTGTATGTATGTGTGTGTGTATGTATGTGTGTCTGTCTGTCTGTCTGTCTGTCTGTCTGTCTGTCTGTCTGTCTGTCTGTCTGTCTGTCTGTCTGTCTGTCTGTCTGTCTGTCTGTCTGTCTGTCTGTCTGTCTGTCTGTCTGTCTGTCTGTCTGTCTGTCTGTGTGCGTGTGAGGGAGTGAATGTGTGAGTGGGTATGTGTGTATGTATTTACCATCCATGTTTTTGTGTGTTTTTCACCTTGATATTCATGTTATGCACATTGTTATATGAACATAACATACTTTATTGATAGAATATGATTGTGTGTATGAAAGATAAATGTTTGGTTGGGCCAAATGTAAAATAGGCCTGCATGCCAAATTTATGACCATTTGAAAATAAAATTTGTTTGATCTTCTTCTTTTTCTCCTCCTCATCCCCTGCCCCCTCCTCCTCTTCTTCTTCTTCTACATTCACCCTTAAAAGGGCTGTTGGCATAGTGTGTTGTAGTGTGAAGCTAGACTGTGGTATTTGGATCTGTTCTTTTATTATTATTATTTTTTCCTGCCCCAAACAAGGGCCAGCAGTACCCACATGGGAACCCAGCCTGTTCGCTCTGTCATCTCCAACACTGTGTATGTCTGAGTCGTTAGATTATTTCCTCACATTTGAGTGTCTGAAGTTTTTACTGTGCATCTTTTAAGGTGAATCTACACACTTGATTCTGGATACACTATTATTATTATCAGCATCATCAAATAGGACATGAATGATACAGGTATTGAGGTGGCTTCATGGGAACACGATGCGAACGACAGTATTAAGTTGAAACGGGAAAGTCGGGAGGGGAATAAGGGGAAAAAAACTAATTGCAGAAATGTTGAGAGTTAAGCATCTGAGAAGAGGCACACTGAATACATGTGATGGCAAAGACGATTCTGAAATTCTATGCTCTAACTGTGGAAGGCTGTGTAATGTGGGCAGGTCTTGCTGGTCACAGTCGCCATTGCCATAGGCAGTGATTCCCATGCATTCCTATTGCGCAGCATAAAACTTTCTTGAAAGACGGAAAGGTGCCAATGAATCATCATATAGCAAGGTCTTTTGCAGAACCAGGACTTTTCATCGGAGCTTACAGCCGGTGGATAAAGAAGAAGAAGATCATATATATATTTATACCTTTTTATTTTATTTTAATGTGTCAATAAATTTGATGTCTTTGTGTGAATCTGTCATTAGGTCAGTGCTCTGGCTTTCTCTGAAGATGGTAAATGTTTCCTTACTGTGGGCAGCAGACATGTTCGCTTCTGGTATTTGGATGACAAAAGGTCAAAGGTATGTAGTAAGATATAATGGATGTTTGCACATATAGACATAACTTTAAATAGACATTTAACTTTAAACATGTAAGATATGTCACCATTATCAATATTCAGAGTAATGCATATTTAATCTTCCTGTAAAGCTTTGTGAAAAGATATTGTTATTTAATGAAAGCAAATGCTTGTTCCTGTCCATTTCTACAGTTTTATAGTTAAAAACTAAATTAACGATAAGGATAAATAGAAAACGAGGTTTGAATTCATGACAAGGTCTTGCATTTTCTCTGTGGCATGCAAAAATAAAATCCAAATCAGCATAGACCGTGGCGACAGCATTAGTCATGCAGCCCTTAATCTTCAAGTTCAAAGACACCGCTACCTACACCACAAAAGTGGTAACTACAGGCAGTAGTTAATTGGCAGAATAAGGATAAGCATACTTGAAAACTTAATGACATCTGGTAAACTGTTGAAAAAGAATAATTAAAGGCAAGAGAGGTAAGTACTTGGATGACTTCTCTACATGGTATGGGTAGGACAAGAACACAGAGCTGATCTGTAATTGTGGTGATCTAGTGAGTTAGCGAACTTTGACCCCTTATGCCTCTCTATGTTGTCCTGGGTGTAGTTAGCTCACAAACAGCATCCTGTCCTGAATGCAGAACAGTGATGGAGGGTACAGTGTCGGGGAAAATGAAGCAGAAACACCTCCGTGAAGGTAAACAGAAGAAGATGCATCAGCTGTGAAAGCACATAGGGCTGAAGAACTGGCTAGAGAAAGACTTTCAGGCGTGCCATGACTACAGCTGTGTTCTGTAAAGGACCTGCTCATTGATGATGATGATGATGATGATAGATACATAGTGATAGATACATAGTTAGAGATAGATACATAGTTAGTGATAGATACATAGTTAGTAATAGATACATAGTTATAGATAGATACATAGTTAGTGATAGATACATAGTTAGTGATAGATACATAGTTAGTGATAGATACATAGTTAGTGATGGATACATAGTTAGTGATGGATACATAGTTAGTGATAGATACATAGTTAGTGAAATCGGCGGATTTAAAAACAGTACAGAACAGATGATAATGAGTCTCATGGTCAGATTTTAAACAGAAGTGGTCAATTGATTTTGCAGATTAACCAGACAGTCCCACTGATGGGTCGGTCAGGTATTCTGGGGGAACAAAAGGACAACTTCTTTTGTGATGTGGCTGCCGGCCGTGGAAGCGTGTCTGGGAAATTTTTTGTCATCACACAGTCAGGGCTGTTGTGTGAGTTTGGTGAAAAAAGACAGTTGGATAAATGGGTTGAACTGCGGGTAAGTCAACATTGTTTGTGCAAGTTTTCAATTTTGTCTGAATCATGCAGGTAAGTTGACATTTAGTACAAGTTTTCGTCTTGTCCGAATCATGCAGGTTTGGTAGCACCTTTTTTTATCTGTCCACGCTATATAGTGCCATGGGGAGGCATGGAAATCACAGCCCGTCATGATGGTGAGTGACATCAAGACCACTTAATGCCTGGGATATTCCTCAGAGATTGAGATATGTAATCTGGTATTATTTTGGGGGCAATTAGATGAATGTAGTTATAAAATCATGTGTATATATATATATATATATATATATATATATATATATATATATATATATATATATATATATATATATATATATATATATATATATATATATCAGATGTGTTCTTCAGTATGGCAGTGAATCTTGGGACATACATACAACTAGGAAAAGCTTAACCATGTCACCTTGGGAAAGCAGTTTTTTTTTCTGGCATGTACAAGTTTTTGATGACAAGAATTTTGTGTGTGACCACGACACCTAGATTACAGTTTTGGTGCTGGTTGCAACAGCATAGTGTTGATGGTGCATATGATTATTTGTATCAACTCCTCACTGCCCCCAACACACGCATGAATTTGCGCGCGCACACACACACATACAAAGATATTACGGAGATAACAAAAATAACATTTTTAAAAATTGGGATGTCATCATTATGTCATAATAATCTCATAGTGAGGTCTCTTTGCTCCATATCATGCCAGTCAACAAAACTACATTTATCAGAATGAAAGAAAAGGAAAAGTTAATTCTTTGCTCCATTTGTATTTGTACGGATTTATTCCCTTACTTGAAAAAAATTTGTTTGTCACCATTTATTTGAAAAAAAAAAAAAATTTCATATTGATTATTTTAGTAATTTAATGGATGTGCTGTGGCAGTGGCCTGTTTAACCAAATTTGCAAAAGTGGCATTTTAAGGTTCTCACGGGACGAAAGGGTTAAAAACAGCAGATATATATTGAATGATTACAAAATAAGCACACAGAAAATAGTAAAAGGTTTACCACCGACACTTGAATAAAATAATATACAGTAAAAATATTTTTATTTTATTGTTTGTTGTGGGGGAAAGGGGGGGGGGGGGGAGTTAATATAGTCAAAATCATTTTACATAATAAGTTTTGTCATCAGAAGTTGATATAAGAATTTGGGTGTTATTTATAAATGGCAGAAGAGAGAAAGGCTTGGCATGAGTTGATTTAAGTGTCTATGCTGCACTGATCAGAAAAATGAGAAAAAGTAATTCAATTGTAACAATTTTATTGCAGACAAAAACGGCAAGCTGCATTGCTGCTGGCCATGAGCACATCTTTGTTGGTTGTTCTGAAGGGGTGGTTAGAGTGTTCAGTGCAACATCCTTTCAGTACTTATGCTCCTTGCCAAGACCTCACCATCTGGGAGTTGATGTAACCACAGCCACCAACCCTAGGTAAACACTTTTATAAACACATTCTCATTCAAATTAAATTGTTGAACCAAAAGTATAAATAATAATCTCTGATGTCTGTGTGGTAAATGTTTTAAATTTTAGGTTTGGGTTTTAGATAACGGATCAGTATCATGGCACAAGGGTAGTAACCCATAAGTGATCCATTCTACTTCTGACTCAAGCCTGAGTCCGAAGAATCTCAGCACAGTGCACGGGCTCCGTACCGCCAGCGAGAATCCTGAAATAATTTTGGTAGATGTTTAACTCCAAATTTTATCCGGGCAGTGCCGTTAGGCTACTCTTCTTGATTTCCAACTGCCAAGGGATTTTTGATGAGCGCAACAATTCACACGGACGTCTGATCTTACTACCTAGACACAAGGGGAAATTACTAGAAGAAGGCTGGTATATCTTTTTTAATCGCTGTACTTAATACAGTCCCACAGAACATGATCAGCAGTGTATTCACTTAGTTAACCTGGGTTTAGTGGTGGAACAGAGAATCTTGCTAACTCACTGGCTGGCTTTCTTGCATTTTGGCCCCACAGTGAAGTCTTTTCTTCATGTCAGGGAGTATTTTCATATTCGGATCAGGACTTACTGTTCAGATTAATTAAAAATTAAAACCAAAAATGTTCTTCAAAGGGAAGGATTGGTCTATAAATATAAGTGTCTTAAACCATATACCTACATACCTCAACTAAGGGGAAACAGGAGAGACACCTATCAGAATTTCTCTTCTTATTCTGACCTGAGAGTTTTCAGTGTGGGTTCCAGGACCCTAATATGTGATGGGTGGAGGGGACGGGGGGAAATATACCCCAATACCTCATTAACAAGCATGTCATGAAAGTTAACTAATTAGAGGTATTTTCTTTGAAGTCGGAGTGCATTTGCCTGAAAGGCACAGAACCAACAGTCTGCATACAGATAAGCCAGATCTAAAACAGATGTACACATAAAACTCAAGTAATGGAAAAACATTAATGTCTAAAAGTAAATGAACAATCAGAACTTTCCTCCGGAGTTTACATCCGTGAAAGCTAAGAAGAAGAAGACATGAGAGAAAGTATTTAAAATATATTTATATATATTTATAATTTACTGGGTCTTGAAGTTCTGTTTCCTATTTTCACTATTTTGTGTGTGCGTGCGTGCGTACCTGCGTGCGCGCGCGCACACACGCGCGCGCGCTCTTTGCCTAACATCAGACAGTTTAAAATTTAAATGTGTGAACTTCAGTATTTGCTTTTTTCCACTTAAACAGTGAATTGCACAATGACACATTTGAATAATTATTTATTATTTCATTTTCTTAGTCACATGGCAAACAAAAAGGAAAATGCAAAATATCCGGATGCTAGAGCGATTGTCTTTGACGATAATCACAAGAAGGTAATTAGTGTCATTTGACTAATTTGAAACTAATCTTCTTTGTGAGAGAGATGCACAATCACTGCATTTTGTCAAATTGCTTGCATTCTGTCAGGTTTTGTGAAACTGTGTCACTTGTTAATATGTTTCTAATGTTCTGGAATATTCTGTATTATGTTACTAATCTATAAAACATGAACACAGGTTGGTGGGTGACATTTTAATAGGTGGTGTTTGATAGGGGAAATCTGGAGAAGAAAAAAATTTAGTATATTATTATTTTTGGTACATTTCTCTTCCTATTTTTGCCTTCGCTGGCTGTAAGCTTCTGTGGTAAGTTCTGGTTGTTCATCCACCTCTGGACTTTAGTCTTGTTCCAGAACCTGAGTGTTGCATGCCCATCCATTTTACACAACTGACTTATTTTATGTGGGACTGTTGTTCCTTGCCTCTCAGGTAAGTGCACTCTCACCTCAAAGGAAGTCCAAAATTAGTAGACTCTTACGACATGTTTGTTGGGAAGGCAGAGAAATCTGGTACATTTAAAAACCAAAACAGATGAGTTGTAGGATGAATATAAGCTAATTTCTTCTTCTTCTTCTCCTCCTTCTCTCATCCTCCTCCTGCTTCTCCTCCTCCTTCTGCTTTTCTCTTCCTCCTTCTCTTCTTCCTCCTCCTCCTCTTTCCTACAAAGACTTGTTCATGATTTTTTGGATTTTGCAGCAATATTTTCAACCGGATGAGTTCTATGGATGCCCATAGGGTGTGTCTGCAAATTGTAGAACAGTCCTGCAAGTCTGTCTCTTGTACAGCTCATAAGGAAGGGAATACTGGTCCAATAAGTCAACACCATACTTGCATTTATATGGAACTAAAGGAAAATTGCTCAAAATAGTTAATTTTATCACAAGAACTTGTCTTCATTGCACATCATGCGGCAGTCACAAGATGAAGAAGCACTTCTACAAATCCACCACTTTTGAGATCTGTATCTAGTCCAGTCTTCACTTTATCGAAATATGAGAGTGGGAGTCGAAAAATTGTCTACACTTTTCATTCTACAGTTTATTTACATGAAGCTAGGGTTTCACTATGCACATCATTTTTGTACCTAATCCCTCTTTTGTACCTTATCAATGCACTTTGCTCAATAGTCAACAAACTTAGTATTCCTTCTAAACAAAAAGTTTTCATTTGGTCTCGAACCCACTTTTGGATCTCATTTTACCTTCTAAATCTGAGGCAAATCGGCGACCTCTTCATCTGTGACACTTGTTCGACCACTTTTAAACTTCTCGATCCACACAAAAAGTTTTACATGATGTTGTACTTCCCTCATATTGCACTGATAGTCTATGATGAATTTCTGAACCTTTGACACCCTCCAATCATAAAAATCGTATCACTGCTCGTTGTTCCTCTTTGGTGCAAATTTCTAATGGAGCAAATATGATCTATCTGCAACAGAAGGAAGAAAAATGGGGGAATTGGGACCAGACTTTGATAGCATTACCACAACAGTATAAAATAAAATAAGCGAGGGCAGAAGTCAGTGTGGAAAATGTAAGAAGAATTATCTCAAAAGGGTAGATAGTTTTTGACTTCCTCTCGGAACTAGCAAAATCTGGTTGCAGCTTTCCATGTGGAAACTTTGGGTTTCAGGCCCCAATTTTGAATCAGCAGTCTACATACAAATAAGCCAGATATGTAAAATGGATATGCACACAAAACACAAGTTCTGAAACAAGACCAAAGTCCAGAAGTGGATGAACAACCAGAAGTTCCTGTTGGAGTTTACAGCAGGTGAACATGAAGATGAAAAATAACCTAATTCATTTCACAGGTGACATGTGTGTACACTGACAGAAGTGTCTATATTTGGGATGTGCATGATGTCAGGAAGGCGGGAAAAGCTTGGTCATTTCTTTACCACAGTGGCTGTATCTGGGACCTAGAGGTGAGATGTTACTGCTGTTTTTGTGTTTTTAAGGAATTAATGAATCAATCAAGAGTTGATATCACTGTACTCAGGACAATCCCACACATGCTCAGTCTCCTTCTTCATTGGCCACGAAGAGTCGATATACTATTAATACCAGTTGCAACCTGATACAAGTCCGCCCGTGTGTCACCCCAATGTTTGAATGTCTTCTAGACCCTCCCCCCCCCCCCCCTGCTGCATTAGTCTCTTAATGTATGTCTTCTCTGTCTGTTCTTTTACACTGTCCAGTTGATTCCAGAGAACCTTAACCAAGTATGTTTTTAAGAATGAAACCCTGAAACTAGCTTTAACACACAAGGGCAGCTGTGTGGCTTAGAGGCTACTGCAGGCAAAAAATTCAATGATCTTTGAATACTAGGTTATCAGCAGGTGCAAGTATAAGGCAGAGAAGATGGCACTAATAGGACACATTCTAAGAAGAGCCAACAGAGAATCAGCAAACAGGTACTGAAATGGGAAATAGACTGAACGAGGACGTCTAAACGAAACCTAAAGCTAAAGGTGCTGGACTGAATTCCAGCCATGATATCAAAGGGACTGCCCAGAACAGAACGAAATGGAAAAATAAACTACGAGCCCTCTGCGATTTAAAATAGAGCAGCAGGGCAATGAATGAATGAATGAATGAGTACTAGTGTTGAATTTATGCAGCAGGCGGTTTATTATTTGAAGAAAACAAAGCCAGGGACAACAGTGGGTACACTATAGCCAACCTTCATTGTGGAGACGGCACACAACGATGGTAAAAAGTAATCTTAAAAAGTAATTTTAGGTTTACTGTAGGAATGGGAAAATGCTAGGAATTTCCAATATTCTAATTCTAAATCAGTTTTATGTTATCACAATTGATGTCACTGCACATTAGGCATTCCCATGCATGCTCAGTCCTCTGATGAAGCAGTCACTCCTGCAATGCAGCAGTCACTCGTGCGATGCAGCAGTCACTCGTGCAATGCAACAGTCTCTCCTGTGATGCAGCAGTCACACCTCTGATGCAGCAGTCACTCTTAAGGTACCTCTACTGATTGTTCCTATAAGGAGCTGCTTTTGTTGTCTCCTATCTTGGCCACAAAGGTGGCTTATATATGCTTCACCATGCTTTACTCCCATGTCACGCGGTCATGTTAGTGTCAGAGAGTCATCATTATTCACTGAACGGGGTGGGTAACCAGCTACCTTCCTATCTGTATTTTCCACGTTCAATTCATGGAGATCTTTTGATGAATTGATGTATTTTCTGTGACTTGGTAGTGAATGAATCACAAAAGTCTGATGTTCTGCAAAGGACCTGCTACAGGATGATGATGATCATACCAGAAGCATACATACTGGTTGGGACAAAATTGGCCATTTCTATTAACCTATACCTCAGCAGGGAAGGGCACGAACCACTACCAGCTATAAATACATGCCCTATCAAACAACATAATTACCTGCCATCCATTAGGAGTTAAATACAAAGACAATAGTTTGGAATGGTTTTTTTTGGTTTTGTGTGTGTTTTTTTTGGAGGGGGAAGTGATAGTAAGTAACGGATCCATTTTATGCTAGTGGCACATTAAGCTTATTATGCTAGACTGAGTATTTTTATAGACCACTCAGCCTTGATAGGTAATCTGATCAACATCACACCAGCCAGTTTGACTTCCCATGACATTCCCTGGTATCCATTTAGGCCAGTGGCTCTTAACCTTTCTAATGCCGCAGCTCTTTAATACAGATCCCTCAAGTTGTGGCGACCGCCAAACAATTATTTTCCTTCATAACTTCAATGAATATGTGATTTCCGATGGTCTTAGGCGACCCCTGTGAAAGGGGTCCTAAAAAAAGGTCACGACCGGCAGGTTGAAAACAACTGCTTTAGGCTGTTTTGATATTTTAACATTTCTCTGTTTATGAAGTCTCTGGTAATTTCTTTGGTTTTAAGTGCTCTGTCTGTTTCTCTTCAGATGTATCCGCAGTTGGATGATCAAGTGAAAGCTATGCTGCCCCCTGGATCATTTCTGACTGCATCCAGTGATGACACTATACGAGTGTGGAACTTAGAAACTATTCTGCCAGAAAATACAGCCTTCAAAAGAAATATCTACAGTAATGTTAGTTTGGATATTCTATCGTTTATTGTTGTTAGATTACTGTAAGATGTTTAGGTTTCCTTGTGGGTTCTGGGGCTCCAGTTAGGAGAACAAAGAATAGACCCACAGCCCTCTAATAAGCATGTCTTAGGAAGCAACTAATTATGGATATTTCCTTCAAAGTCAGTGCCTCTGTCTGAAAGGCAAGGAACTAACAGTCTGCATACAAATAAGCCTGATCAGTAAAACAGGTGTGCATGCAAATGTGCATGCAAACTCATGTTTCCCCAGGTATTAAATCAGCATACATTAGCTAATTGTAACCATTCGCTTTTGATTCAAGTAACTCTTTATGTGTTTGATATTCTGTTATCCAGTTGTTCTAGTGTTTACAGTTTGAATCCAAGTGATCTGCTTTTGTTTATTATCTTTGTGTATACATTTACTCTGACTTAAAATAAATCTTTGATTTTCTTTCTTGTATTTGGAAATTGTCTTTTTCGTCTTTTTGTTTGTCCAAGGGGCGTAAATGCATTGTTCCTGTTTACAGCAGAACTGCGATATTTGCGTCTTTCAGCCAACACATCAGGCTTCATGGAGCCTTTGTTAACTTTCCGAATAGTTTTGTGGGACAGGGCCATGATATGGTCTTTTTTGTTTGGTGTTCTCTTTGTCCCCTTATCTACATGTGTTGCCCCTGGAGACCCATTCAGAGCATCTGCATGTAGACAGGTCAGCCCTCAAGGGTAGGCAGGAGCAGATCATGGGCATTCCCTGCCATCCAAGAAGGCTTCCATAAATGCAGAGCCGATACATAGCGCTCTGGTCCTGGGCTCACCCAAGGAATCGTCACATCCTGCACATGACTGCTTAACCTCACATTTGTATGTTAAGCTTTCTAGTCGTCATGGGCTGCAATAGGGAGCAGCTTGCAGGTCCAGGACTTTGATGGTCACACAAATAGGTACTTTCTTTTTCAGCACGTTAGACACCTTCATCGTTGTTTCATCTGGAAACTTAACAAGACAGTAGGGCAAAAGCATCTTCCGGCATAGCTTCCCCTATTAGGTCCCGACACGTTGGCAAATGGGGCCATTGGTAACAGACATGTCAACCTTTTTGCGAATTAGGACTTTTTCGGTTTGACATTCAGGACTTTGTTACTGCACCATAGGGCATGTGTCTGATGGCCATTTGTGCCAAATCAGCACACTGACAGTGGCAGATAGTCGTGGTGTACCTCAGCGCGGTGATGATGACATTGAGGAACAACAAGGGATGTATGGAGACAGGCTGCTGCCACGAGTTACCGCTCTCTTAGGCTGAATTTCTTCTTATAAAGCTAAATCTTAGCAGCTTAGTAGTTCTTCCCACTCGACATACGCTTTTTTAAACCGAGGATTGACATTTAGGTATATTCTGTTATCAGACTTCAACCATATTCCAAATGAATTTTGAAAGATGTTTTCACCCATGCATTTGGGGTGGGCTGATGTGACCCAGGCTAGACACTAAATCTCTGGGGGCCACCAACTCTGTGATCCCCTGTCAGTTTGGTTCAGGTCACTGAGGTGAGCCATTATCCGTAGTGTGGCAAGAGCCTTGCGTGAGGATCCGTAAAACCGGCCCAGAGTTGCCACCCAAGTTGAGTTACGCAGTAACTTCTTATATACATCACATCGGCCTTAACTTTCTCTCACACCTGTGATTGAAATCACCACATCATATAATTTGAAGATTAAATTACTGAAAGAATCTTTGTATTGTCTTTATGAAAATTTCTAAAGTTATCATATTTTGCTTTAAATATATAACTAAAGACTTGATGAACACTTTTTCCTCCACAGGAATTGTTAAAAATAGTTTACATTGATCCAAGTTTGGCCTTTCTTTGCAATGTGGACTACAATCCTGGTAAGAACTAGTGTGTTAAAAATAAACTTAAATTGCACATTTTGTTTCTGATGTGTTTATCATCCTTATGTGCCATGTTGAGCTGCACAGGACCAGAAGAACTAACCTGGTCAGCAAGTGCTTGGATTTGGATATTTTGGCCGAAACTTGCAAAAGTCACATTTCGACTATAAAAAGATCTAATTTCCGAAACCGAAAGATTATTATGTGAGTGATCAACAACAGCTTCACAAACTTCTGTCTTCGTGTTTTTAACTCTTTTGGTATCAGCGAGTTGTTATTTTAATTTATTCTGTCCCGAGACTTGTTTGGTCCAGGTCAACCACTGACATTGACAGTTATAAGACAGATAAGATGTCTCTGTATTAGACACATCCTGAGAAGAGATGAACAGAGAATCACCAGTGGCTGAATTTGAAATAGAGGGCTTGAGGAAATGAAGGACATTCATAGGAAACCCTAAAGTGAACGTTGATAGAGAAGCCAAAGTTGCTGGACTGGATTTGATCCATGAGAGAGTGATTGAACACAGGATGGAACAGAACCAATGAATATATTTCAAGTCCCTATGTGACATATACAGGCCCAACGGGGAAAATGAGTGGATAAATCCTAAGAAATTGTCACTTTAACTAATTTTTTAATTGAAAAAAGTCAGGACAGTGACACCAATGAAGAAAAGGTGTTGAATAACATTTAGGGCAAAGTTGGTCAGTTTAGCAACTGGAAAAAGCATACACAAATTAATTAATTAATAAAAGGTAAGTAGAAACCAAGATCTGCATGGTGAGTTGCTTGGTACAGAATGAGTTTATCAGTTTGACAACTGACTATCTTCTGTGACCCCCCTGTCAGACCGACCTTACATTTATTACATCTGTTAACCTGTGTCTGTCACACCCAGTCTTCCCATTTGTCACAGCCTTCAGGTATACTGGAACCATATATCCAGCAGTGGAGGGCATACATCAAATGTGATTACCTAGGTATGGAAACTCAGGGGACATCGTCAATAAGTAGTGCAAGCTGGTGTTTCATTTTGCGTTTACTTGGAAGGTAGCTATATAAAAAGTAATTTGTGAAGTAAGGATTAAAGGAGAGATTCAGGTTAAAAAAAAGGGGAGGGGGGATTTTTTTTCTTCTTTTTTTTCAGCTCTTTTTTTTACTTGGAAGATAACTGAAGTCTATCAGTACTGTTGTTAAGAGTTTCTGGTTACTGCCTGTATGTACCATTATTTAGGGCAAAGTGCAGACACTTGTTCGAGGGAATATAGAGCTGTATGCTAGTACAGTCACTGCAGACTGCACATATTTATGTTTTGCCCTCTCTCTCTCTCTCTCTCTCTCTCTCTCTCTCTCTCTCTCCCGTCTCTCTCTCTCTCTCTCTCTCTCTCTTCTCTCTCTCTCTCTCTCTCTCTCTCTCTCTCTCTCTCTCTCTCTCGTCTCTCTCTCTCTCCTCCTCTCTCTCTCTCTCTCTCTCTCTCTCTCTCTCTCTCTCTCTCTCTCTCTCTCTCTCTCTCTCTCTCTCTCTCTCTCTCTCTCTCTCTCTCTCTCTCTCTCTCTCTCTCTCTCTCTCTCTCTCTCTCTCTCTCTCTCTCTCTCTTCTCTCTCTCTCTCTCTCTCTCTCTCTCTCTCATCTCTCTCTCTCTCTCTCCTCTCTCTCTCTCTCTCTCTCTCTCTCTCTCTCTCTCTCTCTCTCTCTCTCTCTCTCTCTCTCTCTCTCTCTCTCTCTCTCTCCTCTCTCTCTCTCTCTCTCTCTCTCTCTCTCTCTCTCTCTCTCTCTCTCTCTCTCTCTCTCTCTCTCTCACTCTCTCTCGCACACACAAAACCAACCACACTCTTATCCTTTTACACTGGATGAAGCCTAGGTCAATCGCATGAGTCCAGCATTCTAACTATTCGGCCAGCTTCTCCTGTATGAAGAGTGTGTAATTAAATTAGTATCTTACAAAAGAAGATAAATGATTAATAACTGAAATGTGAGATCAAGCAAATGTTTGTTTGTTGTTTCATTCTTTGACAAGTTTATGAGATGAATGGTGCTTAACTGAAATGTGCTTAACTCACCATCGCCATGGTAATCTTGTGACTAATCTTGAATTTCCATTGGTGAAATGTAAATATATTTTTTATCTCTATTGTTCACAGCTGGTGCTACGGATAAGACTGATACTACTTATGATGGTAAAAATGGTGTCCGTTCTCTGTGTGTGAGTCCTGATGGTGCTCAACTAGCTTCTGGAGATCGTCAAGGGAACATTCGGTGAGCACATTGCATCAGCAGACATGGGGGAAAGATAATGGGAGGTTGTATGTATTTAAAAGAGGTTTAAACCTCAGACAGGTATACCACATAAATGCTTCTTGGTATTTCACAAGATGACTGAAAGATAAAAGAATTGAAGAGAAAAGTCAGTCATATCAAGAAACTTGTATTTTTTTTTTACCAAGTGTTACTAACATTAGGATTTTAAAAAATATTGCATATTAATAACTGTCTCCCTGCCTCTCTGTTTTTCTGTCTTTCTCTATCACACTCTCTCTCTCTTTTCTGTGTCACAAACACGGGCACACACACCATCTTTTTATGTGTCTTTCTTTATTTCTGTCCTTTCTCTCTCTGTCTTTCTCTGTCTCTTTTCTCTGTCTCTTTTCTCTGTCTTTCCATGCATCTCTCTGTTTCACTTTCTATCTTACTCTGTCTCTTTATTTGACTCTCTCTTCCTCTTCCTCATTAGTCTTCTTCCAAAACTTGTTTGCCCCTCAGGCAGATGCACTCCGACTTCAAAGGAAGCTCCCCAATTAGTTTTCACCATGTGCTTGTTAGGAGGCAGTGGATCTCTTCTTGTTTCCTCAACAGTTGGACCCGAAACCCAAATCCTAATATCCTGATAGGTTTCTGGAGCCACAATAGTGAAGTGGCTAGAAGCTTCCCTGCCCACCCAAAGGTCTGTTGTTAAAATTTGCATTATGGCATGTTTTTCCCAAAATTAACTTTGATTCTCAGGATGAGCCAGATTAAATGTTAACATCCTGGAAAGTTCACAACAGCCAGCATGATGCTGACTGTATCACCAATCAATGAGTGCTTGCTGATTAGTTTTCAATTTTTAAATTTTTTTTTAAATTAAAAAAAATATATACATAAATCTAGCACCAACTGCCCAATGGGCTGAAGGCGGGAAACAAGGTCCTTTACTCTTTTTTTTTTTTTTTACTTATTAAAAATATTTTTTGACAGTTTAAAATGTCAATTTCCAATCCACTAGAATTTACAACATGCAGGATCTAAGTGAGAAGACGTGTGTTGAGGCCCATGAGTCAGATGTTATGTGCCTTCAGTATTCCTACTCCAATTCAGGTCAGTGAGCATTCTTATTTTCCGACAAAAGCAGTAACACACAGAATTGACAGTAAACAAGTAGATGGAAGAGAGGTAGTTTTTCATTAAAAAATATACAATGAAAATGAGAATAATGAACTGAAATGAAATGTAAATTATTTAAGTAAACATTAGCTGCGTAACCTTTACAGGACATTGCAGAGCCAGCCCTAGCATTTTTTTTTTGCTGTTGTGATTTTTCTTGGCAAATTTTACGTTCAGTAGTTTGCCATTGCTTACTTAACGGTCAGCTTTCAATACCACTGTTGAAACCAGTGCGAGACAAACCATCTGCAGCTGGGATCCAACCTGGCATTACGAAGTGCATTCGCAATGCCTAAGCTACAGGGGCCGACTATTTAAGTAAACGTGGCTAATCTGGAGAAAATTAGTGGCCAATGTTTTCCTTATATTATTGTGAGCTACCTTAAAAAATATAATAATCTTCTTCTTCTTCTCTTCCACCTTGTACCTCATCGAAGTGTCTGGGGGAGATGTAATGTTCGTGGATGAGCTCTGTCAAGAGCACTATTTAGACTGATGGTCATTTGTGTAAGGCTGTTCTTAATAATTTAATAATGCAGTGAAGAAATACCTGCTATTTATTTATATCCATGCCCATTGATTTTTTGCAGGGCGTTTCCTGGCAACCTCTAGTCGTGACAGGCTGATTCATGTGTTTGATGTGGATGAAAATTATGGTTTGGTTCAGACACTAGGTGATCACTCCTCTTCCATAACGGCTGTACGATTTAGAAATCTCAATGACAAACTACAGATGATCAGCTGTGGTGCAGACAAATCCATATTGATTCGAAACGCAGTGCCTGTAAGTGGTGATGTTGGATTTTCTAAGCACACATGTTTGTTGTATTTGTTTTCTGCTTTCACATATACTCTGCTTTAGTAATCATTGTTATCATCATCACTTGATTTTTCTTCTTATTCTTCTTCTTCTTCTCTTGCTTTTTTTTTCTTCTTCCTCTTATTATTTTTATTCGTCTCTTCATCTGAATTCTTACTCTTTTCTTGTTGTTTTTGTTCTCCTCCTCCTTGTCTAATAACTTTTGATAACAGTAATTCTCCTGTACCTCTGCTATTCTAATCAGGGTCTCCTGGACTTATGGCTGAGTTCCTTTCTATTCTAATCAGGGTCTCCTTGACTTATGGCTGAGTTCCTTTCTATTCTAATCAGGGTCTCCTGGACTTATGGCTGAGTTCCTTTCTATTCTAATCAGGGTCTCCTGGACTTATGGCTGAGTTCCTTTCTATTCTAATCAGGGTCTCCTCGACTTATGGCTGAGTTCCTTTCTATTCTAATCAGGGTCTCCTCGACTTATGGCTGAGTTCCTTTCTATTCTAATCAGGGTCTCCTGGACTTATGGCTGAGTTCCTTTCTATTCTAATCAGGGTCTCCTGGACTTATGGCTGAGTTCCTTTCTATTCTAATCAGGGTCTCCTCGACTTATGGCTGAGTTCCTTTCTATTCTAATCAGGGTCTCCTGGACTTATGGCTGAGTTCCTTTCTATTCTAATCAGGGTCTCCTGGACTTATGGCTGAGTTCCTTTCCGACTAACAGGTTGTAAGTCAAATTTATATTTTCATTAGGACAGGTTATAAAAATTGTACATACAGTCCAAAATGTTAATCCATGTATGTATAATTATTGTACATAATGTGGAAAACACATAACATACTCAGTTCCAGTGACATTTTGACCCTACCAATAAAGTTGTCTTTCTCTTTTTACTATTTTTATTTATCTTTTGACTGTGGTCTTTTAGTCACATAGGTCATAATTCAAGGTGAGGGTGTATATAAAACTGTGTTAATGCTTGCAGTGCCCAGAGTTTCAGTTCCAGCTGGAGCATCACCTCGCTACCAAGATCACCCTCTATGATATGGTGATAGACCCCACACAGAAAGTACTGGCAACAGCTTGTCAGGACAGGAATGTCAGGTGAGGGAATTTGTCACATGGATGGTTGGTCATTAGTTGGATCCTCTAGAGCAGTGTTCTTGAAGCTTTTCACACCTGTGGACTGGTAAAATAGGAGATATATTTCACAGACCAAATGGTGGCTGAGGCAGAACAGACGCAAAAATAGGCAGCATTTTATTTGTTAGAGCAGAGTTATAAAATAACAGTTTTTACTTATTGCTGCATTTGCTGCTTCAAGGTTAAAAAATTGTATACATGTGACTAGAGCATTGTTTTTAAGAGACAGAATGCTGCAGTAACATCCATTTGATACCTTGTTTTATTTTGCCAGAGTAAAATGCCTTTAGGCATATAGGCTAGACCTATATTTCATAGACCAATCGGTACAAGGTGGGTGATGTGGTCAGCATCACGCCAGCCGCTTTTACTTCCCGGTACTGCACCCGGTACCCACTCAAGACTGGGTTGACCTGGGAGCCAAGGTCATTTTCGAAGTGAGCATCTAGCCGCTTCGCCAAGGCGACTCCTTATTTCACCCGAAGCTGCTGCATAATTTTACAGATTGCCAAGAAATGTCTGCTGATCAGTACTGGTTCACAGAGCATGAGTTGAAGAACCTGGTTCCAGTAGACTGAATGTTACGTTTGCTGTATTTGCTTTGATGTCATCTGAGCCTTGTATCTGTTAAAGTGAAGTATGTAGAGATACTTTTCTTCTGACCCCACATTGAAGTACCGTTTCCATAGGAACTGTGTTCCTGAGCTCTCCTCTCCATTTCCAAGGTCAGAAATTTGAGGCATGTGTAAAATTGGCACTGAAACTTCACATTTGCAGAGATTCCTATTGGGTTGAAACCAAGTCATGATCTGCCACGGCAGGTATATGAATTAATACATTTTTTGGGGATCGCTAGAGATGGAGAAACTTGATAGTTGGCACCAGTCAAAACTGCAGTTAATAATGATGATTTTGGTATAATGTAAGTGTTTTAGGCTTTAATATTACACTGTATGCCTAAAGTCAGGGAAAAGGGACCTGCAATAGTTACCTACTTTTTGCACAGACCCTGTATTAAAAATGCCATTACCTCAAAACTTTGACTCACCACTGCCATTTGTTGTGCTATTCTCCAGGTTATACAATATACAAACCACAAAAGAGAAAAAGTGCTACAGGGGGTCAGTTGGGGACGAAGGAGTCTTGCTGCGTCTGCATCTGGATCCCTCGGGTTCTTATGTGGCCACGACAGGCACGGACAAGAATGTGTGCATTCTGGACTTCCAAACTGGAGAGTTAGTGGCCACCATGTATGGACACTCAGAAGTTGTGACTGGTGTCAAGTTTGCAAATGATCTCAAACATTTGATAACGGTCTCAGCTGATAGGTAAGAAAGATATTTGCTTATCATTGATATTTGACTTCCAGTCAATATGATGGACAGGCATGCTTACAGTTTTTGGCAAGTATTGTCTTCTGACAATAGTTAGCCATTGCATTTTCTTCCACATGTAGACTGAAAAGAAATAGTTTCGTCACCCAGCTACTCACTTGACCACTTTAGTGCATTACGCTACACTGTGAGCACATACACAGTAACACTCATACATACGCATTGACAACTTGTACATACACACACTCATACATACGCACAAGTTTGTGTGTGTGTACCCATTCACATACCCATACATAATATACATAAACACCACACACTCATACATACACACTCTCAAACATACACATAAATACACGCGTGCGTGCATACACACACATATACACACACACACATATATATATATATATACACACACACACACACACACACACTCATAATACCCATACATGCAATGAAGTCAATCCTTTCACATTTTACCTTTAGTGGCTGGTCGTTCTGTGAAGAGAGACTGAGTCATATGGGATCAACCCTCAGTGCAATGATGTATATCTTCTCACCTTTTACCTTTAGTGATGTTGTGGGCTGGCAGCTGGCCGTTCTGTGAAGAGAGACCGAGCCATATGGGATAAACCCTCAGTGCAATAAAGTTAGTCCTCTCACCTTTTATCTTTAACCTTTGACCCATTTTTAGACTGAATTTCCTTGGAGGCAAGGTTACTTTTAAAAATGCTCCATAGAGAACTGTTGGCCACAAATTTGAAAAGGAAGCATGCATTTGAACAATGATAATTAAATCACATCAGAGGTTAAGTAGAATAGATCAGTTTAGATTCAAGATTACCATAAATTATTTCTTTTATCAAGTTTGTTCTCACTCTTCTACTCTGGCAGCTGTATTTTAGTCTGGAGGCTTCCTTCAGAAATGACCAAACAGATTAAAAGCAAATTGCAAGGTTTGGGGAAGGCTTTAATAGAAACAGACAATATTAAGTGAGTATGGTAAAGCAGTTGGCTGTTTTAAACGTGTTGAGAAAATGTATATATTTAATCTTTTTGATTAAGTACTGATAACTTCGCTTCAAGACACTACCAAAAGAATAATGTTCAAATGCACACACATCCAAGAAAACACAGCAGTGAGCCTCGTCATTCATCATAATTATCAAGTGTCTTACTGTCTGGGACCTAATCTACTCTAATTATTGTATATGGCTTGCTAGGTAGGCCAGCTGACAGACTTAACTACCCAGACACACCTAAGACAACACTCCTGCTGAGTACAAACATAATCTTTAATGTACAATGAACAACTAGACGTAAGACACTTCAACTGGGCTAAGCAGTTCCCATCCGAAACCCCCTTGGCGATGACAGCTTTACACTCACTAATCAACCCAGGCCAGTTCCCATGGATCTACCAGGAACACGAATCTTAGCTGACAGTTTCTCAGTGCTAATTAATCCGCCGTCTATTGCCAAACGGGACTCAGCGATACACGTAAGGTGTATGGCCCAAGCGTGACCGGGCAGTGTTATCGCCATTACAATGCGCGTCACCTGGATTAACTGCTCAAACAAATACTGCATGAAATGTCTACTACACAAAGAACCTTAACTCTATATTATCTAGTCTAAACATTAAATAGAAACACAGCCTATCGTCAATACTACATACAAATACCCTATTACACTTAACCGTTGCTAAACCTAATTCTTACCTAATCACTTGTACCATCTTGTCTCCCTTTGTCTCCCAGCACACAACTCTCCTACACCAGCTTGCACAAAGCCTTTTGTATTTCCCCTCAGTTCATGGCTTAACACGCAGCATTCCGTGTCAGCTGAGTGAACTCGACCTGGCCTCTTAACTGGGCCCAGCTTATTGCGTGGTCAAGCTGTCCGTTCGCATACTGAGTTGTACTGAAGGTCAACTCGTACAAACGTGATGATTCACTATAGGACATCTGTTGTGCTTCCCATAGCCGAACTGGCCTCTGACATAGGTGATCATGCCTCCCCACAGTCAGTGATCCTCAGCAACATGTATCAGTTTTTGTGCTGACACCCTTTCTGTCAAGAATCAAATTTTCCACAGATCTTTCAAGTGGTCGTCATGTCTTCCTCTGACCTGATGACATTTTTTCCAAATGACCAAACAATGATCCCACAGCATTTCCAGTGGTCACCAGCCCACATGTTCCAGTTTCCTTCCTCTCAAATGACCAAACAATGATGACCCACAGCATGTTCCAGTTTCCTTCCTCTCAAATGACCAAACAATGATGACCCACAGCATGTTCCAGTTTCCTTCCTCTCAAATGACCAAACAATGATGACCCACAGCATGATGACCCACAGCATGTTCCAGTTTCCTTCCTCTCAAATGACCAAACAACGATGACCATCTTTGATGTTTGTGATAAGTTGTCCTCGAGTCCTAGCCTCTTTCAAAGCATCTCTTTTTGGCTGTCCATTAAGCATATCTGCATTAATAATACAATTATCTTTAATGAAGTGTTACTTTTGTTTTAGTAGTATTTTCATGAATTACAAGCATCAGTCCAGTTCTACAGTCATGTACATTCTGCATCCTACTTGTAATTGATCTCTTTCTTGTATGTCTGATTTACACATAATAATGTTGGCATGTTGTGTTGTTACTTACAGCTAGACTGCGATATTCGCACCTTTCGACCCAACACATCCTATTTTAGCAAACCCTTTTTATGACGCGCTTGTTAGAAAGAAACTGGGTATATTCTTTTTGGTTTCTCAGAAAAGGGCCCTTGAACCCATACAGGAAGTTGGGAGAACCATCATCATTGCACCTGGTTTCATCCCAGATGGCTGGGTCTCTCTCCGCAGAGTGGCTAGCCGCCTGCTGGGTTCTTGCACAAAGCATGAACTGTAGCTCCAGCAACGATCCCCAGGGAGCCGTGTAAAAATTGCACTTGTGAATACAGTCCATAAAATGGAGTGATCTTCAGTATGCATGGCAAACAGCTTGACCCCCTTTCCACAAAGCCAATTGTTAGTAAATATTTGTCATTTATGAGTATCATGGAAGTCATGGCAGTGACCAGAGCAGTAAGATGGCTGGAGATGCAGACTTTCATCTGCATATGTTATCTTAGTGACTCAATGAGTTTGCTCAGAAAGATAGAGATGGGCTGGATCCAGTGACAATGGTTTGTGTCTGGAGGCAGTCAGGGTTGACAAAGATCGGTTTCATTTTTGTGCCAAGGCACTCAGATGTGCAAGGAAATGAGCAAGCTGATAGGCTTACAAGTAAGGTTACTGTGGAGGCTGGACAAGCCGGGGACCAGGCTGATATTCTGAATACTCTGCGAGAAGTAAAACGTTTGCGAGAACCAAGTGACTGTGAATCCACACTAGATAACTAACAAATCAGACAAAATTTTGATTTTTTTTTTTTACATTTGTTTCAGTGGGAAGGACAGTATTATATCAGTGCATTGTTTTCTTGATGATGAACAGATCAGAAAAAATTGTTATTTTCATACATTTGTTTAAATGGGAAGGATAGTATCATATCAGTTCATTGTTTTCTTGATAACGAACAGATCGGATACAATTGTGATGCCTGATCCAATGGTGGCAAAT